CGACAAGTAGTTCCTGTTCCACAAGTGTCCCCACATGAAACGGACTGATTGTAGAGCAATTAGTAACAGGAGCAGTCCTGCAACTTGGTAGTATCACTGCAAAAAACACTTCAGTGGTCAAACAACAACCAATAGATTCTGACACATCATTGTTGTTTTAAAACTGGTCCGCAGCTTAAAAGCTGCCAAATCTATTTCACGTGCAAGTCAACTTTACATGCTGTTCAATGTTGCAAATTAAAGTTGACTTACTGTTTTCAGTGTGGAGCTCTTGAATACTCACTGTTGACAGTTATCACAAGATGAAGATCATTGTAAATGCCTACCTAAAAACTTTGGCAAGGATTTCCAATAACAAAATTTCACAGATGAAACATTTACTGCCAGTAGTCAGCAAATCATGAAAAGGAACCGGTTTGAAAAACAACACAAGAATCTCAAACTTAGTGATTTCAAACAGTATGAATAATTACACATTTAGTTTTATTATTAAAATGTCCAAAATGGCATGAAATGAAATTTCCTCTGCTGCATTAGATATATGACCATATTTTCGGTGTAGTCTTATAAACTTACAGATACCATGACTTTTCTTCCAATGGGCTTATGTTAAACATGATAATAAAAGGACAAAATAATCCAGGAAACCCAAGTGAAAACAATGGTTCAGTTATGTGTACTGGGCAATGTCACATAAGATATAGAGGAATTTGAAAAAATAATTATTATGAAAATGTGACTCGGTTTTGCATAAAATTAATGTAATTTATTTTTTCTATTGCTACGATACATCTTCCACCTGCACTTTTAAACCATGGCCTATAACTTTTCTCATAAATTGAATGCCTTTTGGACACTGCATCAACCCTCTTTGTTGCCTCCTCAGAAAACTCCATATGTCTTCTTAACAAATCCATACTCGCCATTCCTAAGCAATGCACATTTTTCCACGTGACGATTAATTCAATCCCGCATAATTGCTCAGAGCAGTTTCCTCACCACCTAAGTTCATGTAACAGGCCTATAATTGCTGAGTTTGTATTTCTGAACAGTTCTGAACAAGGGAGTAATATTTGCTTCAGTCCTCTGGCGCCACCCCAAAACTAGGCACGATTGAAAGTTTATTGCCAGCACCTCTGTAATTTTCCCTTTCACTTCCTGCAATATCCTTGGATGCATCTCATCCAATACTGGTTGACTTCAAATTGACTTTCTACAGAAATCTCCCTAAATAAAGATTCAAACAGCTAGGGAGAATGATGAGTTAAAGGAAATTAGCATCAGTAAGAAGTGGTTAGAGGGTTAGATGATGCATCGTTTATTATCTTCCAAAATTCTATCAATTCTGGAATAATTCCTGCAGATTGGAAAGTAGCAAATATCACCCCACTGTTTAAGCAGGGAGCATGTGATAGTGGAGAACTACAGACCTGTCGACCTTACATCTGTAGCAGGGAAAATGCTTGAATCTACTATAAAGGATGGGATAAATAGACACCTGGTTGAGAATGATCCGATTGGCCATGGTCAGCATGGATTTGTAAAAGGGAAATTGAGTTTGATGAACTTGAAGTTTTTTGAAGATGCTACGAACAAAATTGATAAAGGAGAGTTGATGCACATAGTATACCTAGATTTTCAGAAGGCTTTTGACAAAGTGTCTCAAAGGAGGCTGGTTAGAAAACTTTAAGCATATGAGTTCAGAGGTACTGTACTAGCATGGATTAATGATTGGCTAACAGACAAAAACAGAAAGTAGGAATAACTGAGAAACTGGCAGGCTGCAGGGTACACAATGTTCACAATGTATAATTTGTTTCCAGGATGGTGGAACTGTCCTGTGAAGGGATACTAGGCAAACTGGACCTGTTATCTCTAGAGTTTTGAAGAATGAGAAGTGATCACATGGAAATTTATAAAATACTTAAAGGGATAGACAGGATAGATGCAAGTGTTTCCCTGATTAGGGAATCTAAGACCGGGAGAAAAATTTAAATAATGAGGAAGATGACACTTATTGCTGAGATGAGAAGAAGGTTTTTTTTCCCTCAGTGTTGTGAACCTTTGGAATTTTCTACGACAGAAGGCTGGGGAAACTCAGTTTTTGTGCATGATTCCAGTTGAGATTGACAGATTCTGATCACCAGTACCATACAAGGTTGTTGGGATGGGATAGGTAAAATGCAGTGAAATGTTCGATCAACTACAGTCATACTTAATGACCTACTCCTGTTCATGTGTTCCTAAGTATCAACATGTTAATCAATACCACTTCCTTATCAATTTTAAGCCCTTCTGGTGGCTGAGATTCCTTCTCTATCACCAATAGCCTGGGCAATATTTACCTCACAAATACAAGATATTAATTTAAAACTTCAGCCAGGCCTCAAATTCATAAGTAAATATCCTTTTTTGTCTTGAATTGGATCTATTCCTCCTTTTACTGTTCCTATAGAAGACTTCAGAATTTCTCCTTATGTTAGCCCCAGTCATTTCTCATAATCCCTCTCTGTTTCTCTTCATAGCTTTTTTAATGTGTTTATACTACCTATCATAAATCTAAAAGTATAAATATCTTATTCCATTAACACTGCAGGTGTTCTGCCAAGCCCTTGTTTTCGGTCACGTCTTCTTGAAATTCGTGCACTTAGGTCACTGCTCCAGAATGACTTTCTCAACATTTGTGAAAAAAAAACTTTACAGCAATAACGTAGACACACTACATTTATTTTTGCAACAAACCAAATTGCGAACTTAATAACGTATGTCACACACACCTTTGACCACAAAAGAAATAGTGAAGAGGAAAAGTGAATACTTGAGAGACCAGAAGGAAAATGAAGGTCATACTGGCAGCAGATCCAATGAGTACGAGGGCAAGTGCAGGAGATATTCAAGGGAGGGAGAATAACAGAGAGAAAAAGACAGAGAGGGAGAGAGAGAAAGAGCAAAAGAGACAGACAGGGTGAGCAACAGAGAGAGAAAAAGAGGGAGAGTCATTGCAAAGAGCGTACAAGAGACAAAGGGAACAAAATATTGCTGCTATAGCATCCACCAAATGAAAAGAAATAAAGTAAATCCTCTCAAATTCTTGTACACCTCTGAAAATTATCCCATAAATAGAATGGCTTTCCATTTTTCTATCAGGGAACCAGTGGCACAGATGTGATGTCAATGGACAAGTAATCCCAAACCCCAGGCAAACCTTCTGAGAACGTGTTCAACATTTCAAAAGTTCAAAATAATTTGAATTAGTTAAAAAATTATGGAATTTAAAGCTAGTCTATTGACAATCACATAACCATTGTTCACTCTTGTAAAAACCCATCACTAATTTCCCCATAGGAAGGAAATGTGCAATCCTTATTTGGTCTGGCCTACCTGTGACTCCAGATAGAACCCAAACTACCAAGTAAGCAAAATAGCTCAAAGGCAGCTAGGGATCGATAATAAACGCTGGCCCTCCCAGATCATTTCAAATCCCATAGAAAAGTGAAACATTATTTAATAGGTCCACCTTCCACAAGACCAAGTAGCAATGATAAAATGTGATTTTCAGATATCTGACAAACCCACTCACTAACATTTCACTTGGATTTAGACAAAAATAATATCAGTTTCTATTTTTCTGATTGGTAAGAATCCTCACCACCTCAGGTATCCGACAAGTTCTTCAACACAACATATGATACTGAATCCTTCAATTCTTCTACGTTGAAATGGCACACCAGCACTGATTGTTGTAAAGCTATACATCAAGATCTTGATAGGAGGTGGTTTAGAATTATAACATATCAACCAAGAACTAGAAGCAGAAATAGGTCACTCGGCCCTTCAGGCCATTGAATAAGATCTTGATTTACCTGCTTGGAACCTCAATTCCATTTTTCAGTCTACCCCCATAAAACCCTCAAATCCCTTGTTAGTCAAAAATCTCTCTCAGTCAGCCTTGCATTTACTCCAAGACCCTGCTTCCACTGCTTTCTGATGAAGACAGTTACATAGACTAACCATATTCAGAGAGAAAAATTCTCCTCATCTTGGCTTAAATGGAAGATCCATTAGTTATAAACTGTGTCCCCTAATTCTGGAATCCTCCACAAGGAGCAACATTCTTTCAGCATTTGCCCCACTCAGGACCATGTATGTTCTAATAGGACGACCTTTATTTTGCTAAATTTTAATAAGTTAAGGCCAAAAATTACCTTATAAGACTACTCCTTCAACCCAAGAATCAGTCAGGTGAATATTCTCTGAATATTTCTCAAACAATTAGAGCCTTTCTTAAGGAAAGTGATCAAACTGTACATGTTACTCTAGATGTCGTTTCATAAGTCCCTACACAGTTGCACTAACACTTTCCTATTTAATGTGACAAAAGGAATGCATCCTTCTTTTTTAAAAGCATCTTGAAGGCATTTCAACTTGAAGAAAGCTTTAATATTTAAACAATATCAACATTAGTGATGGGCAACAATTAAGCATTATTAATTCAAAGAAATGGGGCAAAAACTCAGTTAATACCTTTAATATTAATAATTATTGATAATATTAATAAATTAACAATTTTCTTGGAAAAATCATTGCAAAATCATTTCCAAATATTCTAGTAGGAGTACGACATAGGTTCTACCGCAGGTATTTAATGTCTAACCTATTTCATCATCTCTATGATTTTATCCATGCTGCCAGTTTATATTTTAGCATAGATTATTTTGTATACTTTTGTATGTTTTTCTTCTGTTATGTGATAGCTCTCACAGCTCCTCAGTGTGTAATTTAATCTACAACTTTTTAAACATGTGTGTTTAACAAAAAGTCTGATATTCTTGCCACCCCTCAACAAATAGATAATAATGATTCAGAAAATCCATTGCAGAGCACTATTGGAAAAAGAAAGTGACTGATCTGACTTTACCTCACGGAACTATTAATTCTACACAGACACTTTGAATGCATTCATACCCAATGATCTCATCACAAAAATGAAGGACACTTACATCATCTGCCAAAGTGGCTACATTATGAAGAATGGGTGTCGGGCTCTGTCTCTCATACTGTTGCAGCTTTTCATGGATCTGGAAAGTAATCACAGAATGTTTAATATAATTTATCCAGCAAGGAGGAAATAGGGCAATATAATCCTACTGAACAAAAACAGAAGTTGCTGTAACAAAAAAAAATATGGAAACCTAAAGAAGTCAGACACAATGGCAATTCATCATAGATTTCACCAGTGGAAATAAAAGTTCAGCGCATATATATATATATATAATATATACATATACACACACACATACACACACACATATCACCTGGAAAAAATGTAAAGAATGCAGGACAATCACACATGAATTTCACAAGTTGCAAAATACTGAAAAGTACTTCCATCCAAAATTATTTTGGGGCCATTTGAAATGACCTCAAGTGTTGACTATATACTTTCAAATCATTAGAAAATCCCAATTTATATTTTTCATGCCCTGTACTCATTCAAAAGTAATAAATTTAACCTGCATCTTCTTTGTGCTTCTTAGTTCTATATTTAAGTTCTATACAAAGAAAAGACAGTCTGAAAGTCCATTAATTGCATGCATTTGAATCACAATGAAAATCCATAGAATGAGCAGAGCCGAAACTTGTGTTTCTAAAGATTTTTGGCAACACAGTTGTCGCTCCATTACAGTGGATGACATCTGTAGTAATATTTTGAAACCATCTGGTTCATTGCTTTGGAATTTACTGCCTCATGGGAGCCCAAGAATTTTTGTCTTTGCTACTGCTGACTTAAAAAAAAGACAGGACACCGCCAATGCAGTAAATAATGGTCGTACAAGCAAACTAACGTTTGCACATTCCTATAGATGATAATACCTAATAAAAATGAAGATACCTGAATCAAATCCCCACAGACACATTACCTTTAGATAATATATTTTGAATTACGTTTATCTTGTGTTTGTTTCATTTTGTGCAAGTTGAAGCATGTCTGGCAATTCATTGGGAACAGCTGATCCTAGCTAGTCCAGATCTCAAGTGTTTCTACCATTATAGCATCCCGCTATACCATCATTGAACATTGGCTCTTGTTCCATCCCAAGCTGTGAACCATCTGGAGCTAAATCTCTCTTCTGGCATGTCTCCTCTTTTCAGCTGCTGGACTGAACTACTCTTTACTGCTGTTGATATACATTAAAAATAAATCAGGTACTCCCTACAGAGGATCTGGGATTTTTGTTGACGCATATAGATGATACAATTAACATGGATACCCTGAAAGTCTCAGCTATATTTTGGGCTATTGTTCAGGAAAGAAAACTTTTTTTTTGAGGTCACATAACTGAAATGTTAAACACAACAAAGAGAGTTAGTCTGTCTGGTGAATTATTCACTCGGTTTCAAATACCAGGGAGCTGGAGTGAAAATTCTAAAGCAGGAGACTGAGAAGGGGAGCAAATTTAAGTCAAAAGCTGGGAGTCTGGTGAAGAAAGATATCTATTATCTTAATTGATGGTGATTGCAGAGATTTATCACTTTGAACTGTGAATTTTCCTGATATTGTTCTAAATTTGAGAACTGTTCTAAATTTGAGAATTGTTCTAAATTGTTCCACATATTATTCTAAATTGAGAATACTGTTGTACTCTCAAATTCTTGCTTTTAGAAATAATATTTGCTTCGTGTAAACATTGGGCTTGGAATTATTGGTCTTACTCTTGCAGTGAGCAATCCAAAATTTCACCCTAAATTTCTTCCTTTATTAAGGTGAAAGAAAAAGATGTTTGGAAGAAAGCATGTAAGTGTAAAAGCATTTTAATATCATAACATGTCAAGATAATTGAGCTGTAATACCTAGGAATGTTCTTGCAAAGACTGGAATCACATCAACTGTCTGGTCTCTTAAGCTGATCCAACAATTAAGCCTGGAAAAAGGTTCTGCCATCAAATCTGCTCATTCCAATTGCACTTCTTTTCATATTCTTGAACAGATTCCATTTGAGTTCACAACTTCATGAATTGTGAGATTCTTGCTTCTTAATAGCCAGAAGCCAGATAGTTGACCAGTATTTTCTTCATAAACACGGACAAATCGCTTAGCAAACAAACTGTCTCTACCACAAAGAATAACAAAGACAGCAAATAGTGATAAAGGTATTACCTCCTAGTTGCCCCCTACAAATATTTTGAGGCTCTTCATTCAGTCATTGATTCTGATCAAGTAGAGATAAATATGTTTCTTGCAAGAGGGAAATGGAACCGTGGCCAAGATCACACCAGTCACAATCTTAATGAATTGTGGAGCAAACTTGGGTGGGGAGGGAGCAATGCGCACTCCCACGGTCTCAAAAATTCGCTGTGCACTAGCACCTCATTTAATCTTATCCCTCATGTAGTCACAAGTACTTTGAACTTGATCATCAATGAAAGAATTTCTGAAAACTTGGTCACTTTCCTTCCTAATCTCTGTGAGCCAGAACCCAATTACGCGCACCACCCACCCAGGTTCACTTCATAGCTCAGAATATCAGGTCACTGTGAAAAACGTTATCAATGTTTGCAAGTTATTATTCGTCTGGATGTGATCTCTTCAGGTTTTGGTAGAAATCAATGAGTTTTAAATTGTATGATTAAGGCATTAAAGCGTTTGCCTGCTGGTATTATTGCTAGGCTATCCATCCAGTGACACGGGTAGTGTTCTGGGGTCCCAGGTTCAAATCCTGCTATGGCAGATGGTGAAGTTTGAATTCAGTAAAAATCTAGAATTAAGAGCATAATGATGACAGTGAAACCATTGCTGATTGTCAGGAAAAGCCCATGCGGTTCACTAATGTTCTTTAGGAAAGAAGTTGCTGAACTTACCTGGCCTGAGCTATGTGTGAACCATGACCCACAGCAATGTAGTTGACTCTTAACTGCCCTCTGGGCAATTAGGGATGGACAATAAATGCTGGCTGAGCCAGCAACACCCACATCCCATGAACAAATATAAAAAAAAGTAATGAAAACCTTGGCATAAAACTTTGCTTAAAAATAAATTGGAAAGGGTGCAGAAAAGTTTACAAGGATGTTGCCAGGACTGGAGGGTTTGAGTTATGAGGGGAGGCTGGATAGGATGGGACTTTTTTCACTGCAGCATAGGAGGTTCAGGGGTGATCTCATAGAGATTTACAGAGGTGAATAGCCAAGGTCTTTTCACTAGGCCAGGGAAGTTCAAAACTAGAGGGCATAATTTTCAGGTGAGATGAGAAAGATTTAAAAACGGACCTGAGGGACAACTTCTTCGCACAGAGGGTGATTCGTGTATGGAATGAACTGCCAGAGGAACAGGTAGAGGCACATACAATTACAAAATTTACAAGACATTTGGACAGGTACATGAGTAGGCATATGGGCCAAACACAGGCAAATGGGACTAGGTTAGTCTGGGAAATCTGGTCAGCATGGACGAGTTGGACCAAAGTGTCTGTTTCCGTACTGTATGATTCTATGACTCTGTGCTTCCTCCCTGCCACTGGATGAAATCCTGACGTTGTCATCATGAATTGCTTCATCTGTTTCAGGTTACACAATGGATCAAGAGCACTTCCCACCCGTGAAATCAATGTGGCAAGTATATCTGACTTCCTTTTTTTTATTCACTCACAAGATGTGGGTGTCTCTGGCTAGGTCATTTATTACCCATCCCTAATTGGCTACAGGGCAGTTGAGAGTCAATTACATTTCTGTGGGTCTGGAGTCACATGCAGGCGAGGCCAGTTAAGGTCTGACAGGTTTCCTTCCCTACAGGGCATTAGTGAATCAGATGGGTTTTTCCGACAATCGACAATGGTTTCATAGTCATCATTAGACCCTCAATTCCAGACTACTTTTATTGAATTCAAATTCCACCAACTGCCATTACAGGGTTTGAATTCAGGCCTCCAGAAAATTAGCTGAGTTTCTGGATTAATAGTCTAGTAGAATAGAAAAGAGTTATACACATTCACAATATGGAATGTTGTTAAACATCTTTATTATAGTTAATTATAAAATACTTTTAAGGTAATTAAATATTGTTTAAGATCACGATACTTCAATTTCTGCCTTAGCTCCCCTGTTAATGTGATATTCTTCACTTTGCAATCTGCAAAACTGCAAAAATTCATTTGATTATTCGTGATTTTCTCCTCCCAGTTGGCTGCCTGAGTGTTCTTGAAACATAATGGTCTATTTGAACAGCTTGGTGATATGAGTGCAGCTTCATCTTGGATATCTCCACAAAACTATGCTACAATCAACTGCACTTCATAAGAATTAAAGCCCACACCACAAACAATGTTAGATCACTCAGCACAGATTTATTCAAGATCTATGGCTAGAGTCTTTGCTTCACCACTTAGCACAGTCCTGGACATTAACTCACTTTTAAGTCCTTATGTTGGTGAGAGAAAATCAATGTCACTGTGAAAATAAGGTTGGCTTTTCAGAGGAGATGCAATATCACTCAGATTGACACTCTGGCCCTTTTTTTTAAAATGACAGGTGGTGGTTCTGCATCTCTGAGAGAAGACTCAAAATGGCAGAGCTGTATCCCATTCTGACAGTTCTTTCATACAGCAGAACTGTAAGAGGAACGTAACTGTGAAACGCCCCCCCACCCTTTTCACAGCAGGCCGCTGCTGTATTTTGAGATTGAGCCACTTTGACAGCTAACGTCAAGCCATAACTACATAAGCACGAGGTAAGTTAGGGTGCAGGCTAAGAAGGGTGCCCAGTTGGTAGGGTAGCAGAGTACCAGCTAAATAAGATACCAGGTGGAAAGGGGATAGGGTGCCAGGGGCAGGATGCCAGATGGGTAGCAGTAGGATGCCAGCTGGGTAGAAGGTAAGGTGTCCGGTTAATAGGCTGCCTGGAGGAGACGTGATAGGGTCCCAGGGATAGGATCCAGGTAAGTAGGAGTAGGGTGCCAGACACATAGAATGCCAGCTGGATATGACAGCAGAAAAATCTGGTTGGGCTAAACAGCAGGGTGTCATGGCGGGTCCAATGTTGAGGTGGGGTGTTATGGGTCAGGATGGGGAAGGTAAGCATGGAGTCG